AAACGCTGTCCCCAGGGGACAATAATAAATTAATCAAATCTATACACAGGACTGCTTAAAGCTCTGTAACGGGCACCTGGGGGGGAAGCAGTTCTGCCCTGGGCAGCTCCCCCATGATCAGGACCCTGCGAGGGGTCCCCTGAGATAGTCCCCAAAGTCACAGTCAAAGAGCTCGCTGATGCCCTCGCCCTCCTCCAGGCCAAAGTGGTAATCCTGCGCCTGAGGAGGCGACAGGTTGATGAATTCATCTGCCAAGAAACCCGAGAAATCCTCCCTGCTCTGGTCCAGGAGGGTGTCCATAGGGGCCAGCGGTGACAGGGTCACCTCCTCTGCTGGGCACTTGCCAGGCAGTGCGCTCGTCCCTGGCAGCAGTGTCTCTGTGGGGATAGGAAGCAGCCGTAAATCCCATCATACTTGCCAAAAAAACCCCAAATAGCAGTTTTTGGCTATGCAGGAGAACCTGCCTTCCCCCCTCCCTACCTCGCTGCGGTGCCCAAGCATCACCCAGCTCCTTGCTTGTGCTGACAGCAGAGGGGCTCACAGCTGCAAACACAGCAAGAGCCCCCGGCCAGAGCCACCGTGCCATCATGCCAATTTGTCCCCAGTTCCCCGCTGTCCCCAGCCCTGGCTGCCCACCTTGCTCTCCAGGCAGCAGCGGCATGTTCATGTCCTGGGCAGGATGCAGGAGTGGGGAGACTCTGGGCTGTGAGTGGCCAGGGGACGACTCCTCTGCAGGGGCTTTGAAAGGGCTCTTGACAGGGCTACAGACCCCTGAGCTGTCCTCAGGACAGAGGAAGACATCGATGGGGCCCTGAGTGCTTCTCACAGAGACCTGGAAAGCCTGGGGAAAGGGGAGAGAAGACACAGAGGGTTGGGTTTAGAACAGACCTTAAAGCTCATCCAGTCCCAACCCCCCTGCCAGCAGCAGGGACACCTTCCACTAGACCAGGCTGCTCAAAGCCTCATCCAGCCCGGCCTTCAACACTTCCAGGGAGGAGCAGCCACAGCTTCTCTGGCCAACC